GGAAGAGTGTACAAGACAAGAATCTTATTTTGTGTTTTCTGTCTTGTCACAATCACAGTTTCCACTTACACACCTGCAGTTTAGCATGTCATACACGTGTTATTTCTACAATTCAATCTTGTAAGGGATAGCGTTACTTTGTGATATTGGCCCAGATACTCATTTCACGATGGTCTGCCCCCTGCAATGTTTTGTCACATTTTTACACAACACATCACTAAGAGACAAAATTTAAATATTATTACATGATTCTCTGCATTAATGTCAGAACCAAATATGGAACCCTTCCTGAAATTATGGTAGATGTATTTAAGAGACTTTGTGCTAAAACTTCTGAATGTAAGTGAATCCCCTCCAATAAAAAGTGCAGTGTGACCAAAGCAACAACTGTTCAGTTTGGGGGGAGGCCTAAAACTTATCAAATCATACAACTAATAAAGGGTCAATCAGATTACTTACTGTAGATTAAGCTTGGTCTCACATAACAAATACAAAGTGCATCTGACTGCCCAGGTTACACTAAATTTCACACAGCAGATACAGTATAATATAAATTAAAACTTCTTCAACTTCTTTTCAATTTTCTCTTATTTAATCTTCTGACATTATTTTTCCAAGCTGCTGCTTTCTTCTTTTTATATTCATAATTTGAGCTTCCACAGGTGTCCTTGGCTCTTCATTGTGTTCCAGTACACCATTTGCTGCATTAAATCAATTGAAGTCTTTGGCAGTGCATGCAGCATTCAGCATCTGCATTCCTTCCTTTCTCATAGCTTTAGCTTCAGCATGTTCTTGCTTTGCTGCCTCTAGTTCCTGAGCAGTAGTGGATTATATTTTTTCAGCCTTTTTCTTTCCTTGAAAGTGGTATAGGTATAGGTAATTGCCAGCTGTTTCCTACAGTGTTCGAAGAATTTTAAATGAGACTGTACATATGAAAAGAATGAATAGATAATAAGAGTAAAAGATAGAAAAATATAAATATGGTGTGGAATGACAAAGTAGGATGATGCACTTTTCATTTCACCATCAGAGCACGGGAGCAATGTAATAACTGATCGTTGTGTAGTATGTGGAATGTATGGTGCACTTGATATTTCATCTTCAGAATGTGTTTTGTGTGGACTTTAAGTTACAATTAGTATCTCACCATCAGGTAAACATTTGTACCATAGCTCCACAGTGTTCCCCTTCACTCTGTCTTTTCTTCTTCAGCTTCTCCATCAGCACTGGGCTCTTCAGCTGCTGACTCCTTCTTCTCATCTACATCTTCCTTCTTTTCTTTCTCCTCTGCTACAGGTTCTTCCTTCTTCTCTTCACTCTTCTTTGGAGGTCGGCCCCTACGTCCACCTGTAACATATTAGAAGAGCTTTATGTTTTCAGTAGATGCTCATAAATTAAGAAAGTGTTACTGACACTGTGATGAGGTACAAGTTACAAATTTCAAAATGATTGTAAAGATAATGAGGTGAATTTTTAGAGAGTATCTGAATATTAGTGATATATATATAATATGTGACAAAGAAGAATTATGAAAATGGTATAGTAGTAAATGATAAATAAGGAGAAGTTGAAAAAAGAGAAAGAGACGAGCTCTATCTGTTAAAACTGCAGCCACTTCATGAAGGGTATTGTCCCATAAAAACAATACAGCAGGGTCGGGATATATCGCGAGATAGGGTCCAAGGATGTTCGCTATTTACTAAATTGCGATATATAATTACATGTACCATAGGTTGCGGCATGTAAGTCGACATTTTAAGCTTGAAAAAATCTCTCCAAAACCAGAGGTTTACTTATAAGACAAGTATAAAATGTGAAGCATTACCATAGAGTGGTAAACAAGTGGAACAGCCTGCCTAATACTCGTGCATCACTTAGCGTAGCTCTCGTGGCCTGCCGCTAATATTTCCTACTGAAATTCATGTTTGGTAAACTTATTTAACAAAGAGATTATAATAAAATAGTAAATTCCAGTATAACTAAACGAACCCAAGACCATACGCCATTTTCAACAGCTGATGCACAGTAAACAATCGATCAAAACGTCACTAAACCCAGGCGGCCAGCCAGACAACTACCCGGTACTGTACTACGATATGGGTGCCATCTGCGCAATTTTATGATAGCGCTATAGATAGTAAAATTTGAGTCATATTTCATCCTTTTTGTCGGGGGAGCCATGGGAATAACATATTTTCACCTGTTTAAAAACTGAATACTGTGAGTGTTAACCAGCTACAACTGGAAAAGCAGACATCTGCAGTGTTGTCAGGTTGGTGTGTGGGTAATGGGTGGATGCCAGCAAGAGCATAAAGTCACGGTGGTTTCGTAAATTGCCATGTATGCTTGTTCAGTGTATGGGGGGGTCAATAAGCGGATGACAGTCTAAGTCTATGCTGTGTGCCGACAGTGTAACGGACCCATAGTTTCGCAACTGACCGCGTGGTGTTGGTGACCCCACTGACAGTTTGTTTACACCAGCTGATGCAAATGGCGGATTGTAAGTCAGGTGTACCATAATGTTCTACTATCATACCGTATATGGCGGTACTATCAAGGTGCTATACTGGTATGCTGATGAAAGTGGCATGGCCTTATTACACACTTTTGCCATAGGCTATATCCACATTTCAGTTCCAGCCTAGCCTATGTTTGGGCCTTGGGGGGGGGGGGGGTCGACTTGACAGCTAGTATAGGCCTAAACCTGAATTTTGAACTAAAAAATCTTGAGGTCGACTTATACACCAGGTCGATTTATACGTCGCAACTTACGGTAATCACAGGGAAAATAGGGTTAGGTTCTGGAGGCCACTAAAAGTGAATTTACTTGATATAAAATGACAATCTAAATTGCAGTGCTGGAATCGTTGCGAGAGCAAATAATTTGAATATAGACATCATATAATTTGCACAAGAGATAATTTTTTTTAAGACTTTTAGAGTACATTTAAGTACTGTACAGTTTTTCAACTCGTATTTTTGGGGAGATTTAGGTGATTTTTAGAAGTGTTTCTGATTTTATATGGTTTTTGGTTTTATGTGAGGTCCCAGGAACATAAACCCACATAAGTTGTAAGTCTACTGGAAATAAATTTATCGCTATACTGTACCCTGTATATTGGAAAATGTCGATAATTTTGGTAGTCGTGATAAATTTGAAATTGTTATATAAAGTCACTATATATCCCAACCCTACTGTACCATACCCTGTAAGCTTGTAACTGGATACCAAGAATCACCGGAACATGTCCGTATCTCATTCCATTATAACAGGTTCCCTTGCAACAAACCACATTAATACATAAACCAGTTGTCATTAACACTCATATTATCCTTTACATTTAACTTAACAACAATTTTCAACTGATACACCATTGTTATCAAAATTTATCTTATTGTTTTTTATTTATTTATTTATTTTTTTTTAAGATTACTGGTAGTACCCTTAGTTAACCCTTAAATGGCTGGAGTACTGTCACCCCATCTGGTCCCCGAGATATGCTAGGGACTGTCAGTTGGTTGAAAATGTTCAAAGGAGGGCCACCAGACTGGTGCCTGCACTTCGGCACCTCAGCTACCCTGAGAGATTGGAGCACCTGAACTTGCCTAGCTTATACTACAGACGGGCAAGGGCGACCTAGTTGAGGTGTATAAGCATCTCAGAGGGCACTACTCAGTTGAGTGTCCGTACTTGGAGCTGGTTGACGCTCGCCCCACAAAGGGTCACAGCTCAAGATTGAACCAGTCGCAAGTCCAGAAAACTGTGAGGGCAAACTTTTTCGGAGTGAGGGCTGTAAACTCTTGGAACAATCTACCAGAGAGTGTTGTGACGGCACCGAGTGTGAGCTCTTTCAAGACAAGACTTGACCAACACTGGAGCGGGTTCAGGTACATTCAAGAGCCGGTGCATGCCCAGTATTTGCCAACAGTGCGTGACAGACGTGACCGATCGCCCAGGCGGCTAGCGAGCCGATCTTTTGGTGAAGAAGATAAATGAAAAGGAAAAGTAATCAGAGACGTGACCGATCGCCCAAGCGGCTAACAAGCCGATCAGTGGCGAAGAGGATAAAAGAAAAAAAAATCAGTAGAAGTTACTGGTAGCAGTAGGGGCAGCAGTCATCGTCAGTGGAAGTAAGCTAAAGGGATGGTGACCATTGAATGTTTCATATTCCTTGCATTCCATTTTTGTGCATATGGGGGCAGAGTAGGGAATCCTTAGATGTCATTGAAAGACAAACTGAACATAAAATGTCTGGGAATCTCCAGTATATTGGAGTGGGAGGTGTGATGATTTCTACCAACAAACAAGTATGAAGTCTCAGTCTGTAGGAACATCAGTGCATCTGGTGAGTTTCCAACCAGTGGCCCCTCATGGGTTCAGGTAACAAAAAGCAGAACACAGGTGACATTTCAAATAGACAGTATTAGAATAAACACTTTTAATCCTTAGAAGGCAACCATCATCAATGGAGGTTAGTTGTAGGGACGGGCCCAGAGGGTGGCTATCATCAATGGAGGTTAGCTACTGGGACGGCAGCCATCATCAGTGGAAGTTATTCGTAGGGATAGTGGCAATCATCAGCAGAAGTTAGCAGCAGGGAAGACAACCATCATCAGTGGAAGCTAACAGTTGGGATGACAGCCATCATCAGTGTATGATTCATGTTCCTTCATTCAATTTTTGCACATATAGTGGTTGATTAGGGAATCTTCAGCTGCCAATTAAGAGTTAATGAGAAGAATAAGTAGGCAAGAAGAGAGGTATGTTTGAGTTTCATATATGGAATATATACTGTATACAGTACTATACAATACTGTATAAGTATACCTTTACTAATTTTGTGTGAATTATGAAACATGTGTAACCATACGTAGTCTGTTCATACATTCTAACCATAAAAAAAAAAGAATGGGGGAAGGAGGTGACATACTTCCTGGTGTGCCGGCTGTCTTCCTCTCCTTCTTGGCTGGAGGTGTGTATACGTCTCCCCTTATAGCAGCCCTGGTTCTCCTCCGGCCTGGTGTCTCCTTATCCTCAAAGCCCATCTCTTTCAGCAACGCTTCACCTTCTGCAGTGGCCCGTGACACATTGCTGGTTCGGTTCTTTTTCTGCAATAAATAAAATCAACTTAAGAACACCCATTGTATCCAGGTTAATAAGCCTGTGGTGTGTTTCGCTTCACAATACTTACTGGGATGCAGAAGCAGTCAATGATTCTCTCTAATGCTAAACTAAGAGGATAAAAGAACATAAAGGAAAACTCCAACAATATATATTCTTTAAGTTAACAAAGAATGTGATGTACAAATAAGGTATGAAAAGTTGATAGAAGCTAGATCAGCAGGCCTGGGATGAATAAGCTGTGGTGGTGCAGGACAACAAGCAGCAGACAACTCGAGACAAGAAATTGGCAGGACTGGCAGTGAGTACTGTACAGAGTTGGCAATGGTATCCAAGAATGAAATGGATGGTGTGTGTGTGTGTGTGTGTGTGTGTGTGTGTGTGTGTGTGAAGGACTGATGGGACAAGATGTGACATAACTATGTCAGTATGGGTATCAAGCATTTGACAGAAAAAACTTGGGTTTTGCCATAGTATATACTGTAGTGAAATTCAGCACCTCTAAAAGGTCCTTCACAGAGGTGTTGTTGGGGACTATGGACTGCATCAACACTGATGAAGGCATAGTTGGCAGAGTAAAGATCCTAAGAAACACACGTTGGTCACATGAAGGGGTGATGAAATGAAGCAGGGTTAACATTAGTGAGTGCAGCACAAATTTTCATATACAGGAGGTCAAGTGTTTCAGTAAGGCAGTAGATGGTGTTGGACAGAGGAGTTTCCATGGAGCCAGATAACTGAATAGTCAGTTTAGCTACTGAGAAGCCCTATTATTCCTTCGCTCCTTAATGGGTGCCGAAGAGTATCAGAGGAAGGTTATTAAACTAAACTTACGGATAAACTAGAAGAGAGAGGGATAGAGAGAGAGAAAGGGAGACAGGAGAGAGACAGAGTAAGTGTTTACAACAAGTTTTGCTGTGTTAAATGTGAAACAGGTGGCCCTCGCCTCAGGGCTGGCTAACTCGCTCCCTGTGGGGTTCAGAAGATAGTCTCCAGCCGTCCAGTGAGCTAACAAGTAAAAGAGCTAAAAAGTCCTACATTAGTCCCAAAACATGTAAGTTTTTATATGGTTTAACACCTTACTACTTTTTATCACGTATATTTTGTAGATTCTTAACAGTGTTGATTTGTTTTGAGTAATGAAAAAATAAATTGATAAATGAATGATGAGAGACAAGTAAACACTGGATATAATATTGTACTGTGGTGGATTAGTGGAACAAGTAACCAAACACCATCTTGAACTCGAACACGCTGGAAGCTTCAAATTAGGTTGAACAGATATCAAGGGCGGATACGTGTTCTGGGGATCCGGACCCCCCTTTTCATTAGAAAATTCCAATACTTTTCTTTAATGCAGTATTGTACTCAGGCATTTTTGTAAAGTAAGAAGTAATTACTAATGACCTCAGAATATCTCCTAATATCAAGAGCATATGGCTTCAAAATGCCCATGATATTGGTCAGATTAAAAAAAAAACAAATAGGGGGGGGGGGGAACAGCCCCCCTCCAAAAAAAATCCCAAGCTGAGGAAGGATTCGCTGTGCTCACCATGTTTCCCCACCCATAACTTCTTGGCCCCTTTTGATACCCCTGGATCTGCTCCTATTTATTATGAACTATATGGGTTGGGTGTAGCAAAATAGGCCTGCTACAGTTTCCTCTAGTCTTATATTCTTAATAAAGAATAAAATAGGATTTATAAAGATAAATTGTTACTAAACGAAACCTTAATGAACTTTTAAATGACTGGTTTCGGCTTTCTGATTTTCCACTGGCTTCAATTTCTAAGCTGGCGTATTAGCTGAATGTAATGATTACTGGTACTTGGCATGTTTCTCCCCACTCTGACACTTCAAGAATTCAAATTTTAGATATTCTCTGACCTCTATAAGTCCTATGGCTTAAAGGATTAGGCATTGATCTCTCATGTTTACTTCCTATATACAATCCAACAATGATTCTATTAACCAATGACGACCACCATTGTTCAGAAAGTCATGGTGGGAGTAATTGTGATCAGTAACTTTATTGTTCAAGGTTGTTAAAAGTACTTCAGTACAATAACAGCCGTTGAAGAAAGGCCGATGACCTGGAAAATATTAAAGAAAAAAAAGAGAGTTGAGAGTAGTAGCAGTAGTAGAGGCTGGAGCAGTAGTGATGGTGGCGACGGCTGGAGCAACCAGTGTTGTTGGCGGTAGATCAATACTTCATGAGTTACCCGACATCTTGTTTACGGTGGTCTAGTCCACCACCACCCTCACACCTTTACTGTCTCACAATTCTAGTATCCCTCACAGCTTTAGTGTCCCTCATATCTTTAATGTTCCTCACCTCTAGTTTGTTCCTAACAGCTCTACTATTCCTCACCTCACCAGTGTCCCTCGCATCTCTACTGCTCGGTACTCACCACCTCTCTTGTTTCCCTCACACTTCTACTGTAGTATCACGTCTACCTGCCTCTTGCACCAAGCACTTTTAGTGTTTCCTACCTCCTTTCTCCCATAACTCTAGTGTCCCTCACATTTCTACCATTTCTTCTGCCGCTTGAACAATTGCTAGTATTCATTAGTTTTATTTTATTTTCTAGGCAAGGGAATGCAACAAATCACACAAGTGTTCTCGGACTGCGTCACACCCACCAATGTAACTCGGTCACCCTTTCCTACTCCCCCACTCCTCATGGCACGAGATGCAGCCTACAATGACCAGAACACTGATATCACAATGACATCACCAACCATCTCACCCACACCAGTGTAAACAAAGGGGTTTCAAAAATTTTACCCACGTATTTTTTTTACGGGGATTAGCCCACCGGGCACAGGTCACTAGCCCACATCAGGGCCTGGGGGGCGAAAATATAATAATAATAATAATAATAATAATAATAATAATAATAATAATAATTATATTAATTAATACAAAATAAAAAAATAAAATAAAATAATAATAATAATAATAATAATAATAGTAAAAATAACCATAAATAAATACAAAAACGAAAATATAAATGAAGAGTGAGAAACGATATACATTACGTATGTTGTGTTGTCAAAGTAAGAGAAACATTTGAAACCCTGCAATTGTGTGTAAATGAGGCAGAAAGTCAGATTAGCAACCTGGGACTTGGTCACAACTTTTGTGATGCCCTATGGCAGCAGGGTCTACCATTAGGTTGAACAATTTTAACCACGATTTAAATGGTTGATAAAAATTATCTGACGCTTGCTTGGCTTTGCATAAAGGGCATAACAACATCAGTAACACTAACACGTGCGTCAATGGGACCGAACGAAGGTCATACGGATACCACCCAGACACATGCATGCATCATTTATATCAAACTAAGAGTAAATACAGATGAACTGATAGCTATACCCGCCAGCCTAGCACTTCAAATACCTTCTCTTCCCCCTCCACACAAACTCTGAGTCTCCTCTGATAATTTCAATTTAAGAGATCAAATGCGTTGCTTCTATCCTACCGTACCTCAACATATTAACAAATTTCCACACTTTAATGTCCTTATGAAAGGGCTGCCAAAAGAACGAAACTTGTATTTACCATAGACCTAGAGTCCGAAGACAATGAACTCATCACATTTCTTAATATTCTTTTAATTGTTTCCACCAACATATGAACAATGTTACAATAGGCCCTTGATCGGCTCGAGATACATCTAGTGATGACACGTTTGTAGCTAAACTTTAACGGTTTAAAACTTCAAGCTGGAGGAACACAATGACATAGAATGCTCCGTATTTCACGACTGGCTCTTAGCTGTGATGGTGAATTTTCATGCAGGACCATGGTTTTTGTATATGGCAGTCTAGCAGTCTAGGTTTAATTATTTGGAAAAGTTCGTGTAATTGGATACCACGCTTTCAAAAATATGTTTATATTTATGTTAAATAGGTAATGTTCTATGTGTGGTTTTGGGTTACAGATATAACAATACGAGATAAATATAGTGAAATCCATTTTTACGAAATGACCCAACAATATCGTCACAGCAAAACAACTCAAGTATAATACCCTAGGTCTCCAGTAATCTTTAATGAAATACAGTAAAACTTGAAATGAAACTATAGCTACCTAACCTTACCCTGGCTTCTATTTTTTTTTATGAGGCAGAATCAGAAAGGGATCTGCTGAGTAAAAAATAAACTTTCTTCTTTTATCGCTTGGGCGATCGGTCACGTCTCTGTTACACACTGTTGGCAGGTAATGGGCATGCACCGGCTCTTGAATGTACCTGAACCTGCTCCAGTGTTGGCCAAGTCTGGTCTTGAAAGAGCTCACACTCGGTGCCGTCACAACACTTTCCGGAAGATTGTTCCCAGAGCTTACAACTCTCACTCCGAAAAAATTTGCCCTCACAGTTTTCTGGACCTGTGGCTTTTTCAATATTGAGCTGTGACCCCTCGTGGGGCGAGCGTCCGCCAGCTCCAAGTAAGGACACTCGACTGTCGACTGAGTAATGCCCCTTGAGATGCTTATTACACCTCAATTAGGTCGCCCCTTGCCCGTCTGTAGTATAAGCTAGGCAAGTTCAGGCGCTCCAATCTCTCAGGGTAGTTGAAGTGCCGAAGTGCAGGCACCAGTCTGGTGGCCCTCCTTTGAACATTTTCAACCAACTGACAGTCCCTAGCATATCTCGGGGACCAGATGGGGTGACAGTACTCCAGCCATTTAAGGGTTAACTAAGGGTACTACCAGTAATCTTAAAAAAAAATAAATAAATAAATAAAAAACAATAAGATAAATTTTGATAACAATGGTGTATCAGTTCTTATAAGACCCAATAATTTATTTACCTGATTTACCTTCTTGCAATGGCCCGAGAACTTTAGTTTATTGTCAACATACACATAGGTCCTCACATTCAGTCTCAAATAGTGTAGCTTCTTCATCCCATTGGGACATATGATACGCCTCCTTACCGTTGGTATGCCTCAGGTGCATCCTCTTACAGTTCGTGAC